CACACATATATATATATATATATATATATATATATACACACATATACATACACACACACACACACACAGGATCAGTAAGAATTTTCGTTTTTTAAAGACGTTTCTTATGCTCTTAAACAGTAAAATTGTAAAATTGTTTAATTGTAAATTCTTACACCGTAGAATTGTGAAATATTATTGCAATTTAAAATAACTGTTTTCTATTTTAAAATACTTTAAAATATAATTTATTTCTGTGATGCAAAGCTGAATTTTCAGCATCATTACTCCAGTCTTCAATGTCACACGATCCTTCAGAAATCTTTCTAATATGCTGATTTATTATCGACGTTAGAAACAGTTTTTGCTGCTTAATTTTTATTTATTTTTTTGGAACCTGTGATACTTTTTTCAAGATTCTTTGATGAATAAAAAGTGAAAAAAGAACAGCATTTTTTATCGTTTGTAACAATATACACTATTGTTGGTCAACATTTGTTTTCTTTCTATTTTTGAAAGAAATTATTAGAATTATAATCATCGTTTTTTTTATATTTATATACATTTATAAATACCATTTTTAATTTGTAAATAATAAAAGATTATTCAATGCATCTACTTTTAGTTTGGCTTCCACCTTACAAAACAATAGCTTGATTGTAATGGATATAATAAAATTTCTTTGTAATAAAGTCTTTATAATAAGAACTCTTTGAGCACTCTTAAATGGCACCGGTGACGTGATTTCTGTCACACGGAAGTGGCTTTGAGACGCTATGACATCACTATGGCCTTTGTGGTCCACACTGATACGCGCAGGTTTAATTAGCGATAGTGTCTGAGCGACGAGTTGGATCAGCAGCGGCGGTGGCTGGATCCCTGGCAGCTTCACTGCAGACTCAAGGATTGTTCACGCATCCATGCCTTCACCGATAACATCTCCTCCCTCCCATACAAGTGCAGTCTTGAGAGACACACTACTGTTTCACATCCGACGTCTGTCAGGAATGAAAGGGTTTGGAAAGAGGGAAGGCACAAGGCAGGTCAAATAAACAATGACGTCATGCTTTTTCCAAACAGTACCGGCATTGAAAGGTAAAATACCTCACCTAGAGGCTGTAAAATAATGTGTGGGATGATGAGTTTAAAGAGAGAGCGCACACAAGCAAGCAGAAAACGCATTACATTTTGGGTCCGCCGTGGCAAGAACTCATTTAGCAAAACGAATATTCACAGCTCTCATTCAACCTTTGCATAACTGACTCTTCGACTGCATTTGGAATTCAAATAAAGGACAAAAGTTCAGCTGCTGTTTGTGCACCGCTTAAAATTTTCAAAAGGTCAAGTTCAAAAAGGGGCGTTTATTAACTTTGAAATGTGTTTCTAGTAACAACTTCTGGCATCCGCCGCCGTTTGTTGTCATTCAAACGCTGCCGTGTTTACGTTCAAGCAGGTGTACAGACGTAACGGTGTAATCGCTAAATGACGGCACCTGTTCAACTCCACAAACACGCAAGCAAAGCAAAGGGCTGCGTGGCATGCTGCAGCAGAGGCTTTAAATAGCATCGTCTAAAGAGATCTAACAGAGCCATGAGCTCAGGTATACACTTTATACTCGCTCCGTTTTTCACTGTCAAAGGGAAGATCAATACTGGATGTGCAATAGCAGAGTAGAAGATGTTGCCTTTGCTTACCTGAATACCAGAGCTTGGCTGGGTAATTTCAGAGGATGATGAAGGATGGGTTCTTTCATTAACCTAAATAAGCCCTAATTATGGGTTTAATTATCCTAGTAATTCCGTTTACATTCTTCGAACTTAAACGATTAAAATACCTTTTGCTTCTGCATGCATCTCTCGGGGAACAATTAAAGATTGCTTTCTTAAATGTGGTTATATAGCAGCTACCAGAGACTCCAGTGAGTGGACGGAGAGTAACATTGAGCACAGCTCCACAGATGTCAGGTGTGTGGCACTGAAAAGGTTAACCCTGATAGATTTTTGTTGAGTGAGGCATTTATTCACTCCCTAAAAGAATTCCACCACTGAAAACAGGATGCCACAAAAAAAGAAAGAAAAAAAAAACATCAGATCTTTTTGGGATTTTTTTCTTCCTTTCCTCAACAATGGGGGGAAAAAAGAGGCTTTCTTGTAGCCTGCAAGCTGCTGCTTGCTGCCGAACAGTCTTTACCAAGGTCAAGTTTTCTAAATGTTCTTTTATGCAGGGCATGTCAGGTGACGTGCGCTGTGGCACGACTGCACGCAAGACTTGAATGTTATGAACAAAGAAGATGCTGATGTTGAGTTGGTATCACTGCAGACAATACTGGCCTTTTTGGTGTATCAGTAATTCATCAGAAATTGAAAAATCTCACACGCATTTCACCTCAACAGCAAAAGGACAGAAAAACAAGACATTAGCATTACGAATATTTTGGCTCATCAAGATTTTCTGCTTGAGATTTAAGCATATTTTTCCTTCTAAATTCTCATTATCATAATGCATAAAGTTGTTGTTTTGTACTTAAAATACATAAAACACTACAATGATGAATAAATAACTTTACAATGTATTTAATATCCTATTTCTTTTCACATTACAACAAATTATACTTTTTGCTTGAGATTTAAGCACATTTTTCCTTCCAATTTCTCATTATCATAATGCATAAAGTTGCTGTTTTGTACTTAAAATATAACAAATAGTACCATGATGAATAAATACTTTACAATTTATATAATACACTATAGTATTTCTTTGTGGTTTGTGCATTACAACAATGATATTTTTTGCTTGAGATGTAAGTAAATTTTCCCTTCCAAATTCTCATTACCTTAATGAACTGGGACATTTTACTGTCAAGTTTTTTTTTTTTTTTTACTTAAAATATACAACTAATCCTACTATGATGAATAAATACTTTACAAATTAAATAATATGTGACCCTGTTTGTGAAATCCAGGCTAAAGTCTCAAAATCTAATTATGAGATAACAAGCATCAAAGTTTGATTTCAACCATTAATTTCACTATTATTTCAATCTTTGACATGGCCTTACTCAGTCAATATTAAATATATAAAGGTTATATTTTCACAGAATGTTCTAAATCTTTATGAAGGATGATTTTATGTAGAAAACAGTAAATCACAAAAAAATGACTTAAGCTGGGTTTTCATAGGCAGGGTCTCATATACTATTTATTTCATTTATTTAAGCCCATGTTCCCTTTTAAATTTCCATTAATGTAATGCACTGGCACATTTTATGTCATTTCATGTCTTGTTTTTTTGGTACTTAAAATATACAACAAATACTCCCATTATGAATAAATACTTCACAAATTATATAATACATTATTTCTTTTCACATTACAACAGTGATATTTTTTGCTTGAGATTTTAGCACATATTCCCATCCAAATTCTCATTACCATAATGCAGTGGGACATTTTACAGTAAAATAGTTTGTTGTACTGAAAATACACAACAATTACTTCCATGATGAATATATACTTTACATCATTTTAATTTACATAACATACTTAGAAATAATGTACTATTTCTTTTTGCAGAAAAGAGACAGTATATTAAATAATTATTATATATTCTTAAAGATTTTGTTCATATAATATATCTACAAATAATAATATACATAATGTAATTTTGCTATAAAATATAATATAAACTATTTACTGTATATCCTAGACCAAGCAATTTGGTTAGTTTGCCTATGGTAGTTACTCTTAAAACAAATACTATTTCAGAGCAAAAACTGTACATATATAAATATATGTAGTGGATATCATTAATAATTAGTACAATGGACCAGCCTTAACCACGCAATATCAGATTGGATTGCATTATAATCAGTTACTTAATAAAAACAAAAACTGCTTTCTCCAATAGCACTGAAATATGGCAAAATCTCCTTCATGAAAGGAGAAGGTGTCGAGTCTTCTCTAGTGTGTGTGAGCTGAATGTAAATATGCAAGTCGAGTCATTTGCAATCAGCCGGAAGAGCTTACTAATGAAATGGGCTGAGAGTGGAGGTAAAGAAAAATCAGCCACAAGGCACAACCCCCATTTTGGATGAGTCATTTAGACCAGTATATGAATCAAAATACTGTATTTTGCTGATACTACTTTCAAAGACGTACGTTTTTTTTTGCGTACATGCTCTTTAAAGTTTAAATATGTCACGCACAACCATTTTCTCCAAATGGAGAATGCATGTAGTGCGCAGACAAAGTTAAACAATCATGTGTGCAACACCCTGATGGACAAAAGAGCATAAACATCTTAACAGTCACATAAAAGCGTATGCCAACATTAGCAAGTTTTTCCAAAACTAAACCCAGGACAGTTATAAAGCACAGGATTTAGTTAAAGTGTTTCCTTCAGGTAGTTGATTCAGTATGTGGGGAAACACTTATGTCAAGTCTTCATTTTTGGTGGCCCATTTTGTTAGGGTTTATAAATGGACTGGCTCATTCTACCCAAGAACCACCCCTGGTTCAGAGACAGTACATTTTTATGACAAAGTGCTTTGGGATGACTTGCTCGTCAAAGGTTAAAACTTGGTTTCAGTGGTTTGTTCAAATCACTAACCCTAAGTATTAGGGCTGTCAAAAAAAAAATTCGAATTTCGAATATTCGTCGAATTAAAAAAAAAATCCACATTCGAATGCAAAAACGTTGCATTCGAATTTTAGGTCTGCGTCAGCCGTCAGGCAGCCTTATCAGTGGCGCACGAAATGCGACGACAATGTAAGTGTCATTGCATTTTAATGCTTTTGTTAGCCTATCCAGTTGAACCCACTAGATGCGGCGCTGCTTTTCTAATTGTTTAAGCAACTTTATTAATTATATATGGTTTATAAACATTATTTTAAACATTATGCATTTTTTTTCAAAGATATTCGTGTTATTTTATTACGCTTTGAAGAAACGTGCATAATATTTTGCTCGATGCGCCCTCTTGTGGCCTCAGCAGAGAAGCCAAAAGCTTTTTTCCCCCTAACTGAAATTATGCCTTTTAAATTCGAATATAATTCAAATTTTGATTATATTTAAGTGGAAAATTCTAATTTAGTTTTTCAGTCATTTTGACAGCCCTACTAAGTATGAGTAATAGTAAAAGTGATACTCGTCTTACCTGGGTGTCATCTGTCACCATGTTTTCATCCTGCATGGAACACTCATGTTGTTTGTGCAAAACGCTGGATTTTACAGGGATGAGAAGAGTCTTCTTCATGAAGCCTTCATCAGTGCCCTAGAACAAAGCCCAAAACCTGTCAAGAACATGTCTGGGTCATATTTCACCCAAAAATCCAATGAATAAAACTATTTTTAAAAATGATATACATTATAAAGGAATAGTTAATTGAAACATTGAAAATTTACTCCTCCTCCTTAGGCCATCCAAGATGTAGATGATTTTTTTTTTCTTCATCAGAACAGATTTGGAGAAATGTAGCATTCCAGCACTTGCTCACCAATGGATCCTCTGCAGTGAATGGGTGCCGTCAGAATGAGAGTCCAAACAGCTGATAAAAACATCACAATAATTCACAAGTAATCCACACCACTCCAGACCATCAATTAATGTCTTTAGCAGCGAAAAGATGTGTTTGCAAGAAAATAAGAAATCCACCACTAGCTTTCAACTAAAATATGAGTTATGAGTTCTCTGTCCATAATATTGCTTTCTCCAGTGAAAAAGTCATCTCGTCTGAATCAGCAGAGAAATATGCACAGATCAAGCTCCGTTTATATGCAAAAACAGTCCAAAACAGTTCTAAACAAATATGTCGATGAATTTTGATGTGAGAGAACAACAGGCGATGGACTTTTTCACTGGAGGAAGAGTTATTATGAATTACGGACATATTTTGTCAGAAACAAAGTTTTACAGTTAAAATTAATTAAAGATGAATTTGTTTCTTACGAACATGCAGCTTTTCACTTCATAAGATGTTAATTGATGGACTGACTGGAGTGGTGTGGATTACTTGTGGATTATTGTGATGTTTTTATCAGCTGTTTGGACTCTCATTCTGACGGCACCCATTCACTGCAGAGGATCCATTGGTGAGCAAGTGATGTAATGCTACATTTCTCTAAATCTGTTCTGATGAACAAACAAACTCATCTACACCTTGGATGGGCTGAGGGTGAGTACATTTTCAGCCAATTTACATTTTTGGGTGAACTATTCCTTTAAACAAAGCCTATTTTTATGTTCCTCAATTCACTCTGGATAAAGCATCTGCTAAACACATAAATGTAATGTAAACAAAGTTGTATTACAGTCATTTTAAACTTTACTGCAGTAAGAACCTAAAAAGTAGGGAGAATTTTAGGAGGGAATGTCATTGTCATTAAATTAATGTCAACATACCAAATATCTTCAAAAATAGGCTTAATTTCCTTCATTAAAACTCTTTCTTTCTTGACATGTTTTGTGAGATTCACACTTAAAGTTCTTTCTTTCATAATGATCTTCTAAGGAGAACAAGTAGGCCCAGACTTTGTGGAGTTACTCAAACATTCACTTCACCTTGATCTGCTCCCAGCTCCAGCCATCCTGGATGGTCTCAGAGTGTTGGAGAAAGAGCTGACAGCAAAGCCGGAAGGTCCTTTCATCCAGGTAACATGACGCAGGGTTTCTCTCAGCTGCCATCTGAGGGTAAGATTAAGCACATTTAAATGGCTAATAACTGAAGATCACTTCAACATCATGCTTCAAAACAAACATCACTGTTGACGTGAACATTGTAAAGTCAACATGAAACACCATTCCCAACCCATTTTACTTCTGTAATGTGATTTTTTCCATCAAGAGTTGATTGCACCATGAAGGCACGATCACTGGAATAACATGCAAATTAAACATGCACAATTACACCAGGAATCTGTAGTGATGTAATGCTACATTTCTCTAAATCTGTTCTGATGAACAAACAAACTCATCTACATCTTGGATGGGCTGAGGGTGAGTACATTTTCAGCCAATTTACATTTTTGGGTGAACTATTCCTTTAAACAAAGCCTATTTTTATGTTCCTCAATTCACTCTGGATAAAGCATCTGCTAAACACATAAATGTAATGTAAACAAAGTTGTATTACAGTCATTTTAAACTTTACTGCAGTAAGAACCTAAAAAGTAGGGAGAATTTTAGGAGGGAATGTCATTGTCATTAAATTAATGTCAACATACCAAATATCTTCAAAAATAGGCTTAATTTCCTTCATTAAAACTCTTTCTTTCTTGACATGTTTTGTGAGATTCACACTTAAAGTTCTTTCTTTCATAATGATCTTCTAAGGAGAACAAGTAGGCCCAGACTTTGTGGAGTTACTCAAACATTCACTTCACCTTGATCTGCTCCCAGCTCCAGCCATCCTGGATGGTCTCAGAGTGTTGGAGAAAGAGCTGACAGCAAAGCCGGAAGGTCCTTTCATCCAGGTAACATGACGCAGGGTTTCTCTCAGCTGCCATCTGAGGGTAAGATTAAGCACATTTAAATGGCTAATAACTGAAGATCACTTCAACATCATGCTTCAAAACAAACATCACTGTTGACGTGAACATTGTAAAGTCAACATGAAACACCATTCCCAACCCATTTTACTTCTGTAATGTGATTTTTTTCCATCAAGAGTTGATTGCACCATGAAGGCACGATCACTGGAATAACATGCAAATTAAACATCCACAATTACACCAGGAATCTGTATTAAGAAAGCAAATTGGGACAGCTCTGTTGTTGACTAAGATCTCTCAACAAATCCACATGCACATTTGGAATCGTCGAAACACAAATTCCATCACAACTTTAGGTTGCTGGATCGCAGCAGTGGCTCTGGCTTCAATTACTCAAGAGGAAACGGTTGATTCACTAAGTGGCCCTTTCCTGCTCATGCCTCTTTCACCCCCTCTGCATGAACCAGCAGAAATGAGAAACATCAAACAAACCCATTTACTTGCATCCTCACTGATCAGTCGGTTTAGTGAGCATCTACAACTCCAAACTAAATGGACACAACATTGATGATTAATTACAGCATATGAAGCGATAAACAAAATGTGCACACTCTTGAATGGATTAGCAGTGTCTGTGTGTCTAGCTATAGTCCAATTCTGACGTGGGGTAAGGACAATTCTTTAAATAAAGATTAGTACGTAATCAGAATTTAGATGGGATGAGCCACGTTTGAAACCATTCTCAATACATGCACACTTGTGAACTCAAAAAGTTGCTATGCTACTTGGCAAACATAGATTTTTTCAGAACTTTTTCACTTGCCAGAAAGATTGTGTATTCCATTTATTATGATGAATATACAGAATGAATATAATGGACTAAATGATTGGAGAAGTCCTGCAAACTTCATCAGAAAGAAATTTGTGATTTTCACTGAAGGGTACAGTTATGACATTTTGATTAATCATTACAATGTCAAAAAAAATAAAATAAAAAATTAATTATAAATTAAAAATGGTCTACAAAATAATTTGTAACATGCATTTTAGAACATAACTAAGAATTTTCATTTCATGCTGACTTGAAGGTTTTAGTAAATATTACGAACTGTGAAGAACCATTATTGTGCGTCCAATTTCACTGTCAAGAGACAATAAAGAATAAAAGCATAAATATTATTTTTATGGTTGTTGCTAGTGGGGTAAGGACAATTCTTTAAATAAAGATTAGTACGTAATCAGAATTTAGATGGGATGAGCCACGTTTGAAACCATTCTCGATACATGCACACTTGTGAACTCAAAAAGTTGCTATGCTACTTGGCAAACAGATTTTTTCAGAACTTTTTCACTTGCCAGAAAGATTGTGTATTCCATTTATTATGATGAATATACAGAATGAATATAATGGACTAAATGATTGGAGAAGTCCTGCAAACTTCATCAGAAAGAAATTTGTGATTTTCACTGAAGGGTACAGTTATGACATTTTGATTAATCATTACAATGTCAAAAAAAATAAAATAAAAAATTAATTATAAATTAAAAATGGTCTACAAAATAATTTGTAACATGCATTTTAGAACATAACTAAGAATTTTCATTTCATGCTGACTTGAAGGTTTTAGTAAATATTACGAACTGTGAAGAACCATTATTGTGCGTCCAATTTCACTGTCAAGAGACAATAAAGAATAAAAGCATAAATATTATTTTTATGGTTGTTGCTAGTTTGTTATAGTTTAACATGGTGAATATAGCATGTACATGAATGTTTTTATAATACACAGCTGCACACTTAAAGGGATAGTCATCATTTACTCACATCATCACTCACCAAACAATTGATGGTAGCCATTGACTTCCACTATTTTTTCCATACTATGGAAGTTAATGGTTATCATCAACTGTTTGGTTACCAACATTCCTCAAAATATATTTTTTAAGCTCAACAGAAGAAAGAAACTTGTACAGGGTGATTAAATGATTACAGAATTTTTATTTTTGGGTGAACTATCCCTTTAAATTTGCCATAAAAATCTTAACCAGTTGCCACAGCCATATCACCCTGCAGCCCAAGACTGGATGCCCACTGAAGCTAAGCAGGGTTGAGCCTGGTCAGTACCTGGATGGGAGACCTCCTGGGAAAACTAGGTTGCTGTTGGAACAGGTGAGTGAGTGTGACGAGTGAGTGACTCGTCGTGAGGTGTTAGTGAGGCCAGCAGCGAGTGCTCACCCTGTGGTCTGTGTGGGTCCTAACACCCCAGTATAGTGACGGGGACACTATACTGTCAAAAAGCACCGTCTTTCGGATGAGACGTTAAACCGAGGTCCTGACTCTATGTGGTCATTAAAAATCCCATGGCACTTCACGTAAAGAGTAGGGGTGTAACCCCGGGGTCCTGGCCAAATTGCCCCCCTGGCCTTTGTCAATCATGGCCTCCTAATAATCCCCAACCACTTGATTGGCTCTATGACTCTCTCTCCTCTCCACCTGTAGCTGGTGTGTGGTGAGCGCACTGG